TAAAATATCGGCATATCGGATATCGGCCAAAATCCCAATATCGTGCATCCCTATTAAAAACTGTGATCATCAGGAAGATCCATGAGAACCTTTACAGCGGAGTCAGCTGAGAGGAAAATTCCTCTGACCGGTCCTTGTCCCTTCTTTTTTTCTGTACAAGAAATGAAGGTTTTTGACATAAAAGGTCTTTGAGGTTAGCCTGTAGCTCACAGCCCTGCAGGATCCTTTTTCACTTATTTTCAGCTGTTGCCTTTTTAATCAATTATTCAATCAATCAATCAATTTCTTTATTGCCAACTACAATTCACACTGTAATCGAGATTTCAGTTTCAGTACAAATCGTTCATCACATACATTTGGGTGGGATTGGGGTGGGGGGGGCACCTGTTTATTGCTCATACTGACTGACTGGAGGCTTGCGAACAGTTTTTTTAGATCATGTCATGCTAAATGACTGGTTCCCAGTTACCATGTATTCAGTTTCTGAGTCACTGACAGGTTTTTAGTGAAATGACCTTTTCCTGACTGGTTACTGCGGAAGTGTTCTGGTTAGCTGGTTTCTGGCCGTTTTACTGACTAGTTTCAGTCCAGCCGACTGGTTGGTTTCTCTGAACTGGTTTTGGCCTCAAAGGGTGTAAAGCTGTACATTTTAAAACATCTTGTAAATTGGTTTTACTGACTGTTAACCAGATGTAAGTTTGACTTTTAACAGGTTTAGGAAGGACTGGCTGGCTGGTTCTCAGCAGAAAGGTGAACAGGTGCCAACTGAATGACTGTTTGATGGCTGGTTTTCCAACTGGTTGCTGCCTCCATCTTTAGTCCAACGTGCCTGAGACAGAGTGACAGGCTGGTTCCCAGTTATCAGACCTTTGGTTAAATGGCAACCTTCTCCATGTTCAGTGAAACTGGTTTCAGTCAGACTGGTTCCCAGTCATCACACAGCTTCCCGCCTGCTTTGCTGACTGCTTGCTGCCTTTGTCCCGCCCAGTGTTGCTCTCTAATCTTGTTTCTCTGAGTCACTCTCTGCATGTTTGGTAGCCTGAAGGCAGATCAGCTGATGATGTCATGCATCGCTCTGATTGGCTGCCACTGACTTCCTCCCCCTCCTCTTCCTCCCTCTGTATCTCTAACTCATCTCCTCCTCCTTTGCTCCCTCTCAGTCCTGATTACCTCCATCACCACTCAGCACCACCCGCCTCCTCCTCCTCTCCCTCTTCCTCTCTGTGATGTTGCTGAAGATGATGTGAGGCTGTGGAGGACCAATCACTGGGGTAGAGGGGTGTGGCCAGAGTAGGAGCTCAGAGCTGATCGATGCTCAGAGGACTGAGGAGGAAGAGATGACAGGGAGGTAGAGGAGGGTGGGGGAGGCCTTGTCCGAGCCGAGGAGCGTCCGACGGTGGATTAATAAAGGAGGAGGAGGAGGAGGGAGGAAGCTGTCGCTAACAGAGGAGGAACCACCTGTGCTGTCATGGACAAATACCGACCAAAGAGACCAACCAGCCTGAATCTGTTCCCTCAGCTTCCACAAGCCGGCAGCCAGGTAGGTGTGGATGGTTGTGATGAGGAGAGGGATCAGGTCAGATCAGGGGTGGATCCACCCACAGTCAGGACAGTAAGTGGCTTAGAGTGTGTGTGTGTGTGTCCTGGAGGCATCTGTGTGTGATCATGTGTGTCATCTGGGTCACATCCCAGGATCCTGCTCTATCTCCAACCTTCTGCTATATATTCCTGATCAGTGCTGAAGCCGTCGGTGGGGATCAGGGCTGCAGGATTCTCCCAAGGACGGCTGTACGGCCTGCATTCGTTCCAGTAGGAACCACTCTGCCATCTTGGGGAAATATTAAAGTCCAATGATAATAAATGTGGAATCGGAAGCAAAACATCTGGAATCAGAGACGTGTTTCAACATTCAACGCAGTCAGACTCATATGTTGATCAGATTTAGCTCACTTGGTTAATTTAAACATAAACTGGTTCAGATGTGGTCTGAGTCCTCCTATAACAGGGACTCACTGACTCTGAAAACAATTCACGCCACTTAAGGTGGTAGGGAAGTCATATTCAATTTCTAATCATTCTAGCCTAAACATGCATATAAATGTGCTCTTTATCAGACTATATTGTCCCAAAATTTTGAAAATTTCTATTTAAAAAACAAAATCCTGTCTTAATATCTGTGGTTTTTT